CTCGATGGGCGCCGGCTCCCCATGGAGGTAGGCGAGAAAAAGCACGAGTCCAAGTCCTTAGTGTGGTTGGAAGGGGTGATGCTGGTGTGTCCCAAGGCTGCTGCCCAGCAGGGTGACCGCTGCACCAGCAGGTTTGACTGCGGTCCCTGTCACCGCAGCATTGCGCTCATGGTGCGATACAGAGAGCCGCTGCACAGGGCGCCTGGGTGGTGTGAAAGCAGCTGAGACGAGACTCAAGGCTTTTCTTTACTGTAGGTGGGCCAAGCTGCCTTGTTGGAGATGCTCAGCAGGGTTTGGAGGGCTCTGCGTCCCTCTGGGACCACACGCTGAGTCAGTGAATGCAAGCAAGAGAGTGCTATGCCAAGTGTGTCAGGATCCTTCTGGGTGGAAGAGGCTCTGTGCCTCTAAAATATTAATTATCTGCCAGAGGAGAGCAAAATTTACGTATTGCGGCTGGTGAGCACCCTGGGACCGCTAGCCCTCTCTCCCCACCCACTTCAAAGGATGCTTGCTTATTGGGGTGCTTTGATCCACCAATTATTCCCTACAGAAGTGCCCACGGGACCAGGAGGGTTTTTCTAGGGGATGGTCAGCTTGGTGCCAACCACCCCAGGCTGGCTGGGGAGACCTGTGGGTGAGCACCCTGCTCCTGGGGGGGTCAGCCAAGTGTGGTGGCCCAGGCTTGGCCCTTTCGTGCTTTCCCCAGTTGCACATTGTCCACATCAACGTCAAGTACCGGACCATGGCGGAGGCCAAGGGGCACCCCAGTGGGCTGGCTGTCCTCGGCTTCTTCTTCCAGGTGAGTCTGCGGGGGCTCGTGCTGCCCATGGAGGGGACCCCTGGGAACAGGCAGCTCATGGTGTGGCTTGGGGAGAGTTCATATAGCCACCCCAAGGGAGTGAGGCAGGATGGGAAGGCTGGGTTGATGCCAGGAGGTGCTGCAGAGCCTCAGTGGCAAAAGGTGTCATGATCCCCCCTGCTGGCTTTGAGCAAGGGGCTCCCAGCTGGGAGCTCACCCATCCCTGTGGGGCCAGGGCCGGCTCTGCCTGCGGATGCCTTCTCGGTGCTGCAGCCTGACACGGCTCTGCCCTGCCCGGGCTCTGCCTTGCCTCAGCTGCTTTCCCTGCCCCTCTGCAGATCTCTGAAACCCCTAACACCAACTACAACACCATTGTGGTGGGGCTGAGGAACATCTCCCAGGCTGGTGAGTCACCTCCACTCTGGGGCTGGGGCAGAAAGGGGAGAGACCCCAGTGCCAGAGGGCAGGGGTACACCCTGGTTGGTTGGGTCGGGGAGGACGTGCCAGTCCATGGGGTCACCCGGCTGCAGGGAAACTGCCATCCCCATAGCCCCATAGGCTGAGTGCCCGTGTGCCACTCCACAGGGACCTCCGTGGATTTGGCCTCTACCTTCCGCCTGAGCACCTTGCTGCCGCCTGCTGCTCGCCTCTCCGGGTACTACCGCTACCAGGGCTCCCTCACCACCCCCGACTGCAGCGAGGGCGTTACCTGGACCATCTTCGAGGAGCCAGTGGAGATCGGCCGGGAGCAGGTACTGGTGAGCACAGCCCCATGCTCTGGCACCCAAAGGTCTTGACCCTCAGGGTGGCCAAAGCGCAACCCCTCTCCTTGTGCTTCCCATGACCCCTAAGCAGGGAAAGTTAGCTCTATACTGATGCTCCCAGCAACCTGGCAATTAATTAATTTTATGAGGGCTAAGTAATAGAGCCGTGGACCCTTGCCAGCAGGGAGAAATCCTGTCCCTAGCACCCTCCTGCTCAGGCGTGGCATTGAGAAAGCAAAATGGGAGTGAACCCACTGGAGCTCAGAAGAGGCTCCACAGAGGTGGCTGGCTGGGTGGCTGGATGGAGCCAGTTCTCCTCTGCTGCCCAAGCATCTTAGTAGACGTATTTCCTTGAGGCTGTCATGGGCCAGCTGCTCTTTAACTGCTCAGCACAGGCAGTGAAACACGATTAGCTTCTTTAAAACTCAAGAGCCAATCCTTGCAAGGCTCTGGCTCGTGTACTTACCCTCTGGGTCTGGTTTCGGAACAGCGGTGAGGAGTGGCAGGAGGACACCCACCAGTGCGGGACCATGCCATGGGTCCTGTGCTGTCGGCTGCAAGGCAGCATGGAACAGGGCTCACATGTGGGCAGGGGCTTGAGGAGCCCGGCAAAGCTCCCGGCAAAGCAGCTGC